GTCATGTATCTCTGTCGTCTGTCGACCAGGGTATCGATCATGAAACTTTTTTCCTAGGATGAAAAGTGAAAAGTGACAAATTTCTCCATTAACTTCAATGGTTAAAATTTTCACTTTTCACTTTCCATCCTAAGGATAAACTTTCATGATTGATACCCAGAGTTGGGTTTTCGAAGGATTTTCTAGGGTTTTTTACATTATACTGTATTATACGATATTATAAGTAAAAAAAACTGTATAAAACGTATAAAACTCTAATTTATGGTCTACGAAACTGTACGAGTGTCCAGAATTCCAGAACGACTCCATGTTATCGATTTTTTTGAAATATCGATTTTTGTTGCTGCGCCGTGCACGCACATTTTTTTACTATAGAATTATAGACTTTTCCACTAAGAGTTAGAGTTGGATTAGAGTTAGGGCCTGACCACAATAGAAGAAATAAGGAATTAGGAATAAGGAATAAAGATTTCAACCTATCAGATATCGAATACACGGTTTCTGATAGGTTGGAATCCTTCTTCCTTATTCCTAATTCCTTATTCCTTCTATTGTGGCTAGGCCCTTAAGCCTTGTGTCCACGATGCTAGAAATCGGTCTGAGACCTCGGATGAAGAAAGAATTGACCAATCGCAATGGTCATGTGATCAAATTGTTCAAATGTGATTTGTTAATTTTTTCTCTGTCCGAGATCTCGGACCGATTTCTAGCATCGTGGACACAAGGCTTTACTCGAGATAGAACATGTTCGAATCGCACGAACGACCTCTCAAGACACTTACAACGCTCAGCTCTTAGTTCTTTGTTTGTTAGCGAATTTTCGATCGATTTTTAGCGTGGATAATGTAGAAATTGATAGAAAGTATTAAATTACGCATATAATGTAGAGATGGCGCCACATGAAGTATAATACGTATAAAACTAAATGATGTATTATACTTGTATAATACCATATATAATACTATGTAAGAAACCTCGTGTATAATACGTGCCCAACCCTGCTGTCGACTCACTTCTTCTTCTTCTTCTTCAACCTTTCATTGGCCCTGGTCCTCTTTATAACGAGGTAAACTTGGCCAGTCGTGTAAAGGCACAGTCCAAGCCGACAACGCTTTTCAAAAATATAAGTACTGGGCCATTAAGTTCTGCGTAAATTGGGGTAATCGTAAGAGGGAGTGCTATGCACCGGCCACCTCAAACCGGGCGAGTAATGGATGATGCAATAAAAATAGCGAGGCGCCCCTTCAAACACTGGACGCCTGCGGCTACGACGCTTCCACGCCGCAGGGCCGCGCGCCAAGACGGATAAAGAGACTATCGAAATTGAAATACTATGGCATAGTCCAAGCCGGCAACGCTTTTCAAAAATATAGTCGAGGTGACGCAACACCCGAGACGAGAGGGAACACGTCCGATCCGCTCGAGTGGTCTACAAGAACTATTTGTTTACGATTAGTCTGTCGACTCACGACTGTAACTGTAGGCAGTAGGATATGAATACCACGGTGGAATTATAGAAGGTGTGTCGTTGCGCATAATGGCGGC